AAAAAAAAAAAAAAAAAAAAAAAAAAAAAAAAAAAAAAAAAAAAAAAAAAGTGGAATCAACAGCAGAGCTTCTGCTGGCACTTTAATTTTTAAATTCAAGAGTTGCTTTTATCATGGTAAAAGAAATAGTGGTCTGTCTGGCAGTAAACTGAGGTACACAAGGAAGATGTTGTCTGCTCCAAGTGTGTGCATCTGTGGAGCCTTATTTGCTGCCTCATGTTTTTTGGTGGGAGGAGACGGCTTTCCTGTCACTCGCTGTGGAAGTTCCACAAGGCTTCATTAGACCTGTCATCTGCACTGCTGTTCCTTCCCAACCACTTCCCAGCTGAGCTGCCTCAGAGCTGGCTGCCTCTGGAGCAAAAACATTCCTGGAAACATCCAAAAGTCTTCGCACAGCTAAGCAGTATCATCCATCAGGTTTCCACTGTTCAGCGTGCCCTGTCCAGGGATACAAAAAACATCCAGCGTTGCCAATGGGAGGGACTGTTTGCAAGGGTTACCTCACTCCCAAACACTGTGACCTGGTGTCAGTTGCAGTGGAGGGGTGGGGGGAAAAGGACCTCCCCTTTTGTGTGGTCCAGCTGAGAAGTTTTTGGTGCCTGTCATCAAAATTTTGTAGCAGCTCTCCAGAAAAGTCCAATTCTACTCTTAATGCAGTCTGTGGGGCTTTTGGTTGAAGTTGTCTCCCTTTATCCACAACAAAGATGATGGCAAAAAAGGACGAAAACAAAATATATTTTTCTGCCTCTGAGCTGATGCGTTGGTTGATGTCAGTGTCCTGAATTGATGTGCAGGTGAAATGAACTCATGCTCCTTGCCACTACACCAAAACTCATCAGTTCGTTTTGAACAGTCCTTGTCTCTGATGCACTGACTGGGATGCAGGAAGCCATAAATTCCATTGAATTTCAAGCCCTTTATGGTTCGCCCAAGGGCGAACTTAACAGTTGCTTATTAACTCTTAACAAAGTCTTTCCTGGTGTAAACTGGCTCAGGTCTATTAACTTTAAGATAATCCACAAAAAATATCTCCCAGTGTTTTGTTCTACTGGAGCCTGCAGCTCCAGTCTGTGTTCTCAGGGCCTTTTGTGGCTCTTAGTTGCAAACAACTTAGTGTAAGAGTTAACTCAGAGTTTTATGGAAACCTTATGGAGACTGGATAGCTCAGCTGTTTTGTTTGTTTGAAACTTCTCAGCCTCTGATTGTGTCAGGGAGGGAGGTGTTTTTAAAGATAACATTTAGCCAGCTGTTCCTAAAACCTTAAATTATCCCAGATGAGGCGCAGACCAGCACAGCTAGGATTTGCTGAGGTTAAGGGCATGAGCTAATAGGTTTTATTGGGTTTATTGGCAGAGAAAAGTGGCAGGTGAAGAGTATCTGCTCATAATGCTCATAGCTATGGGATGAAGAAAAAAGGAAGAGAAACATCTGTAGAAACCATGAAGAATATTTGGCCGGGCAGGGCTGTAATCAGCTGCGTGTCAAACAGCAGGGCTGCTTCTGCCAGCATCAGCACCAAGGAGAATTGGTTTCAGACTACAGAGAGTTAAGACTAATTATCCAGTGACTTTGGACTGCTTTGTGGGGCTAGAATACCTGTGTCTGCCCAGGTTGTGCAGGATCCAACCAAGATAGCTCTGGGCATAAGGTGAGCTTTGTCCAAGGCAGTTTTTAAACACGTGATGTTTTAAGCGTGACCTTAAAACAGCTTTGCAAGGTCAGGTTGGAGCTGCTGTAGCACTGGGTCTAGATACCCCTGTTAAGACTTGTCTTGGAGTGACCCTGTTGCCCCACAGCTGCTGTGCTGGGTTGCCAGCTGTGAACACCAGCAGATTGAAATAGTCCTGGCCGAGACTTGTTTGTTTTATTCCAAGCACAAGTGCTTGTTCAACACAGCCCTAAGCCCAGCAGATCACCCACCAAAGAACACTGCTTCCTTCCAGATTCCCCGTTCCATCCCCAGTCATCACGAGCATTAAATCGGGGTTTTGTGCCTATCTCTCTCTTCTCCCCTACCCCAAATCATTCCCTAAGCCTGCCCTTGAGTGACTTTAACATTCAAAACATATGCATCCTCTACAAGCAGAGCAATTATAGCACGATCTCAAATATGGTTTTCATTACAGCATTAACAAAGCATTTATTTCTTATTTACGGGGCCCATTCGTCAGCAACTTGTCTAGCTCAGAGAGTGTTCCAGTATCTCTGTTTCTGCATTCCTATCTCCCCACAAAATGGGTTTGAAGTTTTTTGTATTTTTTTTTTAACCAAACAAAGAGCTTTTACTTGGAAGATGTCCCAAGGCATGGCGTTAAGGGGAAGAGTCAACCAGGGTAAACAGCCACTATGCTTTGGTAGGTGGTGTGAAGATTTTTTCTGAGGTCTTTGTGACTCCTGTCTTAGAGGAGATGATGAAGGAACAACAGAGGTGCTAGAGCTCATGAGGGCCAGGTCTAACCTGGCGTCTCCGTGTGAGAACATTCATGCTTTCTTAAGATCTTTGTGTAAGCTCTTTGCAGTCCCAAATCTTGGTTTCTTGGAGTGAACTCAACCCAGGAAAAACCTTGTTAATATGGCTTGATGAAAGTGGACTATGTTTCTTGGTCATCTTGTTTGTTTTTTGTTCCTCTTGTCTGTCAAAATTTGCTTTTCTGTGTTAGAAACAGCATGCATATGCTTGTGGGTTTATTAATATCATGTTTGGATAATCCTCCAAGTCCTGGCTTGCCAGAAGGTTGCATCCTGCTAACGGCCAAAGGAACCATTCACCAATGCTCAGATTAATACATTTTTTTACTGTATAGAGGATAAAGACTCATGGAAATGCTGGGCCATGAATTGCAGGAAGATTTGCAGTAGGAAATACTCTGTTAAAAGTGTGTCTTCAAAAAGGACAGACCTATTTTTGAACCAGGATGAAACTGTTTACTTCGCAGCCCTCTAACCTGGTTATGCCTTAGGACCAACAAGTTTCAGAGCTGCCAGTGTGTCCTATGCCCTGTAGCTTGGTGGTGTTTTATTTCGTAAAACTTTTAAATACCATGAGAATCCCATTTTCAGAATAATTGTCAGAATAATGGGTGTGGAGCAAGGGGTGCCCGCGCTGTACAGACGTCTCCGGAGGAAAGGCAACGCAGAGTGTCCCCAGGAAGCCCAAGTTCTGCCCTTGCTTGGTCTCTGAGATGCAGTCAAGGCCTGGGGACCCTCTCTGTGGCACTGCTACAGGAGGCAGAGGGACTTTCTTTGCGAGGCCGCACAGCCCACTAGCGGTGGAGCCGGGAACCTGATTCCCTTCCTGGGGCCGCCCCTGCCGCACGCCGCCTCCCGCCTGCCCCACTTCTTCCACTAACGCTSTCAGCTGGGAGGAGTCCAAACCGCAGCGTTCACATCTGGCCTGAGGTCTGGAGCTTGGGAGCATCAGGCTCATCTCTCCCTGCGCAGGGATACAGGAAGGTTTTTTCTGTCGCCCATGAAAAAGGCAGTGTTCTTGCAAATGCATCCTGCAGATACAACCCAGTTGTAGTTGAAAAGTGTTTTGTTTTGTTCAATTTCCTCATGTCAGTTTTCCAGGAAGGAGTCAGATGGCCAGAGTTATGCAAACCAAATGGATCTTTTTTTTTGTTTAGAGAAAAATAGTCACTCATTTTTGTGGTGAAACACAAACATGCTCCCAACAAAATAACCTCTGCCTGTAGGCAGCCGGGCCAGCTCAGAGAGCCACCCCTTGGGATTCAGTGACTGATTTTTTTATTTTTTTTTTTTTTTTAACAGAGGTAGAGATTTAATGCAGGCTGGGGGGAAGAAAGGAGCGAACGAGAAACAAAAAGCTAATGGAATAATCTGTGTAAAAGCCTTGCAAAATTAAACCAGCTTTTGGTGCATAGGATGTTCTTTGGCCTTGGCGTTCAGTGTCAGTGAAGGAAAGCAGGGCAAGGAAGTCTTCATTTACACGTTGTTTGTGCACTGAGAAATGGAATTTAGTTATGTCAGGAGTAAGAATAGGTCCAGATTTACCACCATACAGGTTGGAGAGGAGAAAGGGCAGAAATCTCTTGGGAAATGGCCATGAAAGCTGTCAAACAGAATGGAAGTTGTAACTGGAAAGTTTTAGGAAATTATAATATTTGTGAAAGCTCTCATTTCAGGTGAACGTCCGCATCTCTATGGAAGGACCTAGGGATGGTTACAAGTGCAGCTGGTAGGAAGCTTTCCAACAATGACGTGGCGCTGGAAAAGTGCTGATTCAGCAGGACCCACCCAATTTGTGGGAATGTGGGGTTTCCAGCCAAAGGGGAGAAAAAATCGAAGCCTGTCTGCCTGGTTTGCTGCCAACCTGTGTGATCTCCAGCGCACTGGCAAATGGGCTGGGAAGCTCTTTGGGATCATCATTTCTCCAGTGACTAGCAACCAATATAAAATTCTGTTCTGCTCTTCGAAAGAGGACTGCTAGTTAACATTCCTGTTTCCAAAGCAGTCTCCTGGTGATAGTCTTTTCCCTCCACTTTATAGAATCACGGGGTAATTTGGGTTAGGAGGATTACTTTATGTTCAAATGAGTCTGTCTTGATCTTCAAGACCTGCATTACTGTTTTGATGATAAATTGCAGGACCCTTTCTTTCTTTTTCTAGATGAGAAGCCTTTTATTGTGGAAGATACTTATTTGCTCTGCCCAGCACCTGTGTTACGGGAAGTTGGCATGTATGTGTTTTCCTCCTTATGTTTTCAAATACTTTTCCTATGAGGAATGACAATCTGTTTCTATTGCACTCTAATAGAATATAGTTTAATATATTATTAAATATATTTCATTTAATTAATTTAATTTTAATGTTCTCATGTTTCTTGTTGAAATGGATCAGTTTCTAGACACAGGGAAAGGAGAAGATCAGAGACAACCTCAATTATACCTGGCAGAGGGAAATAGGTGATAAATGTGAATATGTATGCTCATATGTCTATGCTCATTTGGGGATTGGAGAATGGAAAACTGAAACAAAACTCCCTGTGCTGGCAAACTTGAGCTGTGCAGGTAACATCCTGCTAAATGGACAGCTAGAGCAGAGGGGACAGAGCTGAGGGTGTGAAGAAGGCCTGTGTGGAAGGCCTTCTCCAGGCACCAGCAGCCAGGTTCTAGAGCTAGGGTATTTAGTAAGTTATTGTATACTAGCTGACCTGGCTCACTTCTTTTTAATTTTTTTCAGGGAAGCTGCACTTCAAGTCAGTATGAATGATGGGCTGAGCTTCATCTCCAGCTCCGTCATCATCTCCAGCACGCACTGCGTAAGTTTGATTTGTGCTTCTAAAACAACTCAGCGGGATGATGGTACTTAACTATAGATGTGTTTTTCTAGTGATTGAAGCTTTTAAACTTGAGCTGCCACCCTGTTCTCAAGGTGAGCTTGTGTGCCTAGTAATCTAGCATTTTCTGTATCACCTGCACCATAACATAGCAAAGCACTTAGATCTTCAGCAGACAGTGCAGATTCTCCATCTGCTGTGGGATGCAGAGCCTAAAAAAGGGCTGGTCTGGAGTCCTGGAGTTCCGTGACCACTATAGAGGCAGTGCAAAGCAAATCTGCTGGCCTGGGTAGCTGGGCTGTTTCCTGTCCTGCAGTGGTGGTGCCAATGAGAGAGGCACACAGCAACAGTGATCACACCCTTCGTCTGGAAACCAAGAGAGTTGCCAAAAAATTGGAGAGTTTCTCTCCTAAAGTACTTGGCTTAAGCTCAAGCCTCGTGCTCTATTGCCAGTAGTGCTTGGACCACTGTATTCGTGATACTGTTTTATGAGTAATAAGCTACCAGGAAAAGGACAATGAAACCACTTAAAATTCACAGTGTTACTACTTCTGTGAAATCACAGCTATAGGGTTGAACCAACTTGTGCTAAGTAAGATAAGAAAAGTTGAGCTCAGAATGATTCTTTGCACAGCAGTGTATTCAGCTTTATTCCTCTCCAGTAAGGCTTGTCTCCTCTACAGAGAATGGTTGACACTCTGCTTTCGTTCTCTCACGGACTGACTTAAACCATGTGGACACAGATTTTGTGGAAAGTTAGGGGACTTGCAGGCCTTGAAAATCTGCATGTGCCAGCTTCCCTGCTTCCTCTCCAGCAAAGACACATCGTGTTTCCATACAGAATAAGTAAAAGGCAGAGTTGTACAACATCCAATTACTAGCGGTCCTCTGTGGCCTGCGAAGGCTGATGCACAGGACTAGGGAGAGAAAAAATGTTTTATGTCACTTCATCTTTTCACTTCAACAAAGACAAGATTGTATGTGGGCACAGTATTCAGAGTTTACATGAAGGGTTGTTTTCCAGAGCTTTCAAAGACATCTGTATGCCTTGCAAGAAAAGGTTTATTTTATTAAGATTCAACTTCTTGGTTCAAGTCCCCTTTTCTTTCAGGGTCAAAATGTGCTTGTGTGTGTCAGCAAATTATGAGAATATTTTTCTGTATCTTGCTTGTATGAGGCAAGACCTGGGAAGGCTTTGTAGAGAAAAATGCTCTCCCCTCTTTATTTCACACTACAATTATTTCTGTCCTGCAAACACTCATAGGTATAATGAGCGGCAAATATTGTTTAATTGACTTCTAACCTGAAAGTTCTGCATGTTTCTTTGAAGAGCAGGAGTCAAAACTGGAGGAGGGGGTTTCAGTGCTGGGGCAGTGCCGCCAGTTCCATGGAGCTGTTGTGGTTGGGAGGAGYGTTTGATTCGATTACGGAATGAGGCCGAAATGCTCCAGCTTTGGCGCGCTGCTGCTGTGCGGCCAGCGCAAGCTGCTTTGGGCCGTCTCTGTGGAGGGCTGCTGTTTTTCAAGCAAAAGTGTTGCTAACTACCCCCCCAAATCCAGGGTTTTTTCTAGATGCTGACAGTAGAAGGCCGGGTTTTTGTTTCAGGAGCAAGAGGGCAGCACTGTGTAGATGGGGCTTGCAGGCAGAAGTCTAATTCTGTCCCCCACTAACTTGCATATGACCCAGCTAAACTGAGGGGATTCTCCTGAGTGTAATTTCAGGTGGCTTTTGGCCCAGGCTGTGTGACCACTGGCAGCCACCGCACAAGAACGGGGCATGACTGGGATGGCAGCGTTTGTAGGGTCTGGGACACTGTGCTGCTCACACATGTAGCTGCGGGAGGAGAGGCTGGCATCTCCAGCACGCCATTTTTCTGTATAGTCTCCAGTGGGGGTTTAAAAACCTTTCCTGTGCCCAACTCTGCTGTCACTACTTGGACGGCGCTCCAGCCTGCCCTGGAAACCCACAGGAGGTTTGTGGATGTGTTCCAGGAATCTGTTTAGCAACTGGGGCCTCCAGTTCAGAGTGCCTGGGAGCTCTGATGGTTACAAATAATGCTTGGTTATCTGTGTCCTCATCACTGCTGGCTCTGCTTGGCTCAGATGGGGCAGGAGCCCTTTCTGGGGGAAAACTCGGCCTCCCCCAGCCTTCTGCTGATGTTTTAGTCATGTCTTTGTCACTTGATCTTTGTACTGCAGCCGCACTTGCAAATCCGACTGGCTCCAGGTGCTGGGTAACCACAGGAGACGAAGATCTTGCCCCAAATTGTTCCAGGCTGATCCTTGCAGCAAGGCCAGTTAGTTGCAGTGTTAAAATACCACTGCTGCCAGCCAAGGGCAGCCGGCTTGCCAAGCCATGCAAAGGGCCCTCCCTCCCAAGGTGGACTGGCCCTCTGCTTTGCAGCTAAATGAAATACCTTCATTTGCTGCTGCCAAGAAGTACCAAGGGCAAAAGAAAATATAATCACTGCAGGGACTTCAGAAACAACTCAATGTGCGTAATTCCCACTTTACAATAGATGGTATAATTTCATAGCCTGTGAAGGACTGAATTCTTGTTGCCATGATCTGTTTCTTCACTGTTAACTTTTGAGATGGATTCTATGAAGGAGCTTGCCCTGTATTAGGCTTTAGGGACACAGTAGCTGTTGTTTTCATTTTTGCTTGTTAAATGCCTGGAGAGCATATGGTTTTCACGTTGCTTAAAGAAGAATCAGCAGGTAACAGCTGACAGAATCAGGAAACTCTTTAAAAAGGGATTTACTCCTTTGCCCATATTAGGAGTTTGCAGAAGAACTACAGAGCGAGAAACCATTTAAATGTTATTTATGAATGGGGATGCCTGCAGACGTGCTCGGAGTGGCTTGCACACCAAGTGTCATCAGGAAAGTGAATGTACAATAGAAGAAAATTAACTTAGGAGGCAATATTTACAGGCAGGAAGTCACTCCTATTCCGCTGGCTGCCAAGTTCTTCAGTGCAGAAAGAGCATCTCGGAGAGGAGCCAGGCTGGGAATTAAAATAAGTCTTTGTTCACTTTCTAAACTCTCCCAGAAAAGGAGAGACCACTAATGACCTCTTGCACTAGTAGGTCTCGGGCTCTAAACCATCAAGAAGATGAAGCCTGCAGGGCTGCAGTGAACACGTGGCAGGGAGGTCTCCATGGGCAGCTCCAGTGCTGGGATTCAGAGGACAAGGAGCCCGCGGCTCCTTGTTTGTGCAGAGGCAAGATCGGGGAGATAACTGTGTGGATGGGAGAGGGCTCCGTGACTGCCTGTTACAGACCTGCGGGGACTGAAGGTCGCTTAACCCGAACAGGTTTTGCCTTGGACAAAAGCAGGTGGGCCCTGACGCTTCTCTTCATCAACGTGTCCAGTTAAGTGCTAAACAGTAGATGGACTTGGTCTTTAGATCTGGAAGAAAAGGCCAGAAAATTCAGAAAACAGTAGAGTTTTGGAGTAGAAAATTAATGACTGTCTTCACTGAAGGTCTGTTTTCATTAAAGGGGATGTAATTCACAGCTAAAGTGGCTTTATTAGCCGGGAGTTTTGGGTTGCACAGTTGAGGCTCTGCTAGTTATCAGTGTCCCTAAGTCTGTAGGCAATTAAAGCTCCTTCATTATTGTATCAGTAGAGGCTTTATGAAACTGCAGAGGAAATCTAACTTTCCTAGGCCCTTGCCCTGTATATGAGCTGAGGTATTGCTCCGTGGGAACTCCAGGGCATAGGATTTCAGGTCTGATTCCAAAATAAATTGCTCTTAATTACTTTATACTGCAAATATAATAGGCAGTAAATGTTTTTGCTGATACTGGTCACCCAAAGAGTGAAACAATTTTAACCACCCCATTAGCTAGGCTATTTTATAATACCCTCAAGTGTAGCAGGCATATCACAAACAGCATGTTTAATTTAACCCAAATTTCAGAAGGAATATTGCTCCAAGCACACTTTTGCCCGGCTAACGGGCTTCTCAGTCTTGCCTTACTCGTAGCCAGCTGCTCCCAGGGCTCTGTGCTTGGCTATGAGCTCAAGGAGGTGCAAGACTTTCCAAGAGAGCAGCTTAAAGGCGGCCAGTGCCCTGGGCACGTGTGGAGACAACATTCCAATGCAGCAGCTTGTCTCCCTTTCCTGCCTCGCGAAAGAGTAACCCCAAATCAAACCATAAATGGTGTTGCTGTTAGGACAAAGTAATTCCATGGCATTCTGTTGTCTGCTCTTATTCCAGTTGCTGCTCACCCCCCAGCTGGATTTAACATGCTTTTGTCAAGGGCTGCCTTCAGGCACTAATGTAAACCGAAGTAACTCCTTAGGTTTTACCTCAAAGATTGTTATTTATCTAGAGCATCTGGGGATAAGAGGCTGCTCTTTCAGAATAGGAGCTCCTCAGTGCTGCCTCTGTCAAACCAGGAACATCTGCAGCCAGATAGGCCCTCTTGGGAGCATTCAAACCTGGCTCTATTTCAGGGCAAGTGCATGTGCATGCTGGCCCTGGAAGGAGGGCTCACTAGATGCTGTGACCTCTGCTTGCAGTGGTAGGATGTAATGATCAAGACACTCAGCTGTAGATAGGAAGGCAGTGCTAAAGGTCTGACCTCTACTGCTTTCCTCTCTGCTGCTTCTTGCTGGGAGGCTGCTAAAACGGAGATGCCGGAAGCTTGGCCAGTAACAGGTAACAGCGTGAACAGAACTGAGCCTTTCAGAAGCCTCTCGACTTGCTAGCCCTTCTCTTTAGCTGGCAACTTGTGATTGTTTCTTCTGGAGAGGGGAAAAAAGCAGCCTCTTTTCATAAGCACAAACATATCAGCACATCAGAGACTTGTTTTCCCTGACCAAAGATCTCCCCTTGTGAGTGAAGCAATGCTAATCCCTGTGCTTCCCGCTGCTCTGCACAGTGCCAACTCCTCAGTACAAAGGTTGTGCTTTACCCTAGACGTGTGCAGTGAGGGGCTTCTCTGCTGCTTATCCGGTGTTGTAAAGCTAATGATAGAGGATGCTGGGAACATCTTTTGGAAATGGGCTCTCATCTCTTAAGAAAACCTGAGGAAAAACCTGAGGAAAGCAGCACACCCTGAACCCTGGGCAGATAAATCTCCTTCTTGAAATTTTCCCGTTGCAGTAAGCTTTAATTCTGACACTGCTTTCAGGCTTATGTGAAAAGTGGGAATAGTTGCAAAGGAAGGAGAGTACCAGACAGTGAAATGTCACGTCATTCTGTGTTCTTGTTTAATGAGAAATTATTTTCTCAGTCTTTATAATACTGAGGAAAATGGAGACAGTAAATTTGCTTCCAAGTGAGATTGGTATTTTACCTAATTGTGTAATTCAAAAGAGGACCTGGTCAGGTGCTCCGGAGAGGGGAGTTTGGAAGATGGAGTTCACACACGACCTGTTTCTCTTGCAGTCAGATGGGACTATCCTGGCTATCGCGTTGCTGATCCTCTTCATCCTGCTGGCCCTGGCTCTTCTCTGGTGGTTCTGGCCTCTTTGCTGCACAGTGGTAAGTGCCACTTCCCATGCTGCTCCACCTGCAGCATTGCTGATTTAACATGCATTTTATTAATTAATGTCTGCATGCATAAGCTGCCAGGGAGTTGCATACAGGACAGGGAAACCAATTTGCTGACAGGTTGCAACAAATCCAAACCCCAATGCTGGAGTAGCCTTCCACCTCCCTGTGTGGGCTCTGCCGCACTTGGAGTGTATGGGTTGCTGTTGCATGCAGAGCTCTCTGCTACTTTTCTTTATTTTAATCAATAACACCACCGCAGTTTGGCATTCCCTGGGTGTCACCAGTGAGTGGGAAGCCAAGTTTTTAACAAGAAAGAACAGAAATGATTGCTGAACAGAATGGTCTGTATCTTGCACCGCTGACGCTGTCTCACACTTCATCTCCCCGGCCTTTATGTTACCTCCGTGACATGGAAGTGTTACTGACACTGTTCTTGCACTCAATCAAGCTCTCTGCCTGCAGAGATGGGCCCTGTCACTAGACATCGTTCCTGACCATCCCGTGGCACACAGAAAACAGCAAAGCTCTGCTCTTGCTTTGGATCTTGCTTGTGCTGCAAATACAGAGCAAGGATTAGGGATGTAGAGATGTCAGCGGAATTGGAGACTGATTTTGGGGCAAGGGAGTGTAGTGATTCCTGATGCTTCTTGTAAGACTATCCAAACTGGCTGATGTTCCCGGGTCCCTGTCATTCCTCCTGGTTTTAAGTCAGTTATACAATGGTGTAGGTTTACACGGTGCTGGACCAAACCCTATGATATGGTACTGAGAGCTGTGGAGCCACAGAAATGGCAGGAGCTGGTCAGATTTGAGAAAGAGTCTTTGTGGTGGGATATGTTTCTCTATCCAGAACAAAGATGGAAATCTCTCAAGAAAAATTTGAGCCTTTATTTGTGTTTCTGGCTAGAAATGCTAGGGGTAAAATCCTTCTTTTTGCAGTAGTCTGGCACCTCTGTCCTGAGATGAAAACCAGAAGGAAAAAAATAATCTGAACACTTCAGAACAATAAAAATATCAGTTCTAAAAATGGATAGAGCATCAGCAGTGTGGTAGATGGCTGAGAATTATTCATCAAAACTGGATGGCACATTCCCAGAGAAGTCTGGCCATCCCTGTGGGTACAACTACCTGGAAGGCAATGAAGATGCAGCCTGCACAGAAGTTCTTACTGGGATTTGATTAAGAATTGAGGCAGCAACGGTCCTAAGAGCTACTGCCTTTTTAAGGTTCTTTTGCAGGAGAGTGATGAAACTGATGTGCCATTGACATAAGTAAAAGAGGCAGGGTGTGGAGTAAAGGAAACATGGAGCTATGCATCCTGAAAGATGGTATGGGACACTGAAACAACGTGAGGTTATTGGTCATAACAGCTTTGCTTCGAGTGTGAGAAATACAGTCCAGATAAGCACTTTGGGTGCAGCAGAGATGGGGGAGAGTCGGTTTCCACACCAAACACTGCAAGTTTAATATTTTCCAGATTCAGGTTCTGTGTTTAAAAAAAAAGTTGGAGATAAAAGCTTTTCCTCACCTCTCTCCTCTACCTCCCACATTCCCTCTTACATAGCTCTCCAGCTGGGGACGAACACGCTGATATTTTCCAAATGTATGCTAATCACATCCCTTGCCTTGCTGGAAAGATTTTTAATTGGGAGCCTGTACTAAATCTTTTCATCCCTTGGGGATGACAGCCCAGTATGTCTGGAAAGAGGCTGGCAATTAAGGGATCTCGTTGTGTTGGTTACCCAAAGATTTTGGGAAATTCAAGATAAATCTGTGGAGGGGTACCCAGACTACTTGAGTTGGGAGGGGTGATCAGAGGAACACTGCTTATTTACTAGCCTGGTAATGGCATATCAAGGAGTGCAGCATTGTCAGAGAGTGAGTTAAGGGCAGAGGAGCTGCCTTGCACAACGCACAAGAGAAGCAGTCGAGCAGTAACCTCTAATAATCAAACCACAGACCTAGAGACACTGCTGTGGATTCAAGACCAGGGGGTGCTTGAGACGACTGTGGATGTGTCCAGGGGAAAAACACCTGGTTTTCTTACCAAGAATAGATTTGTTTCTGAGTGACAAGCACATTTCTAAACCCCGAAATTCCTCCTGGCATGCTTTCTGATTAAATAGGAATCATTCTTATCCAGCAGTTCTCCAGGAAAGACAGCGAGCCAGCTTCATCCCAGGAGTAATGTGCTGAAGTCAATAGACTTACCCGAGGGATTTATCTGGAACCCAGTATCTCCTTGGCACGCACCCGTCAAGAAAGGTTGTTTCCAAGTATATCCAAGTTTATTGGTCTCAGAGCTATTCTGGGATGAAGTCTGGAATTTACCACTTGCTTTACAGTAGATGCAATAGTTGCTCAGTAGATCAGAGCAACTCTTAGACCTTTACTAAGCCCGACACCAGGCAAAATTTCCCTTGAAATCAGTGGCACAACAGAAGAAACACGGGAGTCTGATGCTAGCCTTAGGGTTCAAGGATATTTATTCAACAGCCACGGGGATGAAAGAACTGCTAAGCCGATGTCCCCAGCAAGCAGCTGCTGTGTAGGAATTTCCCATTCCCAATCTGTGCATCATCTCGCTCATTTTTCTGCTGCAGCTTCTTTGGATGCAGGGGAGTGGCCCTCATGGAAATGAGGTGTTGGTATTTCAGCATCCTGACACCCATCAGGATCTCTTTGCGCTACTTTCTGGAAGGATGCATGGAAGAACCCAGCAATTTGTTTGGCGCTCGGTCTGCGCTGCAGCTGACTGAGAGTTTTGGAAACAAAAAGTTGGACAGAGAAAATACAGTAAATGTATATTAAAAACATATGAAAATCACAGCTAAACTGGAGGATGAGGAGGGAAGGAAAGGTATTGACACTACAGTAGGGATAAAGAGGCATAAAATTCCTCTTGATTGCATTGCATTGCAAGTGCATTGGCTTGATGGAGATGAGTAGCAGGGTCTTTTATATCTAACTTTGCATTATTTTTGTACATGGCCCTCATTTTAGCTGCTGTTGTGTTCAGTCTTACAGCAGCTACGCTTCGGGACAAGGAACACATTGCCCCTATTTATCATATAAAACTCCAAGGAAAATTTGCATTTGCTGGATACTGCAAACTAGTGGAGTTTTGTTCTCTCCCAAGATCTAGACACATTCCTGGAGTCTGCAAAATTTGGATTCCACATGTATTGGCTTTGCTTATGCCTAAATAGCCATAGAAGTTGCAGGGCAACAGCAAACCAGTGCTCTGCAGTGCTACTAAGCTTGCAGGGGGTGGCTGACAACATCCCTCTGCTTTTACATGGGCTCCTTCAGCAGGAACAGCGGTATGACCATAAAGTGCCTCAGTGAGCAGGGGCCCGTGACCCCCCACTTTGATGAGGATCTCATCCTCAGTTGAGGGTCTGAGTTGAGGGTCTTTGATGAGGAACTTGGAGGTCTTTGGTGGCAGAACTGCTCCATCGCACAGTCCCCTGCCACTTAAAACAGGTGGCCGAGCCGCAAGTGTTTCTTTAGAGCCAGACAGAAAGCCTTTGGTGTCCCTGACTTCACAAGCAAACGTGGCTGATAAATGATGCAAACTTTCGTCTTTCAAGCATGGGGACAGGAGATCCAGTCGCAGCAGCAAGAGCAGAAATGGCTCGGGGTTATCAAAACACAGCCCACGTGAACAAACACTCGGCCTTGGCCAAGCTAAGCTGGGCTACGCGTCATGCTTGGCCACGTGTGCTCCCAGCTGCCTGCGTGTGGCAGGTCCCTGTGTCACCCACAGGGCAGAGGGACAGCGAAAGCAGCAGCCCAGAACCAAGCGTGCTGAAGTGGAAGCTCCTGTTCCAGGAGAGGCCGCAGCCTCCCCGGTTCCCCGTGATGGCCTTTTCTGTCTTGTGCTTGAGTAGTTGTTTCTGTGTCTGGAAAGGAGCAGGCATGAGGTGCTTCCTTCTGGCTGGGGCTCTTGTTATTCCTATTTAGCTTTTGTTTGGATTGCTGTGTGTGATGGGACAAAAATCCCATTCGCTTGGCTGGCACGAGCACCCCGCAAGGAAGGTCCCATGTGCAGGCACAGCTGTAACTACAAGGATCCAAATTAAAGAAAGGATTTGTAGTGTTTGTAGATCAAAAGCCTTCCGAAGTCTGGGCAGCAAGTCAGGCAATAGATTTTGTGATGACTTGAACTTCCAAAGTTCCTGCAGGCTCAGAGGCAGAGCTCGCCACATCTCTAGAGCAGTCTAAAATAACCAACCATTAATGCATGAATTTAAGGGGTGTTCGGTTGCTGTTAGAGGTAGATACTGCTTGATGGAAGTGGAGTGGAAGCATTCACCTTTCCTTCCTCTTGGCATGTAGTAGATAGAGCTTGATCTGTTCATAGAAATGGGGGTTAATGTGTGTGCATTGTAAGAAGGAACACAAGTACATGGAAATCACACCCATCTGTTCATTTCCAAGCCTTACTCTCAAGAGTTTCCTGTGCTCTTGGCTAAGAAGTTGTGTCTAAATCCATAACTGGACCAAGTATGTTGGCCAGATTATCCTGATGTTTCATGCCAGTGTAAATCAAGAGAAACTCCATGCTGTTACACCAGAATATTATCAGAGGAGGGAATACAGCCACTTCCAGTAGGGCATATCTTGGGTTGGGTATCTTAAATTTCTCATAATCTAGTGGGTTTGGATGAGGGATTTTGACTCAAAAGGAGATCTGCCACAGTGACAGGGGTCAGGAATTGAAACCTATTGGCATTGTGACTAGAAAGGCGACTAACTTGCAGAGAATTTACAGTAAAACCCTCCCAGGGCACAACAATTTGTGTCGCAGCCCAAACGCAACCAGCATATCCCAGAAATGTGCAGGGAAAACCGAAAATGCTCAGCATGCAGCTTGTGCAAGAACAGTGTGCAGCTGCAAAAACAGACGCATCCTGGAAGCAGGAACAAGGCCTGTTGAGCGGGAACAGTGGCGGGCGCCTCCACGTGAGCTGCTCCGTGCAGCCTGGTGGCTTGGCAGCGCAGGGTAGTGGGTGCATGTACCACACTCCTCAGATGTCTGTGTATGAGCTGTGCTTCCGTGCATGTGAGCAGAAACCTGATTTTGATCCCCAAAGCAGGCAGGCCCTTTAACAGAGCATCCTCCTGGACCCTGCAGGCCACCAGGAGCCCTGGTGGGGACAGGGAGGGACAGAGGGCTACGGCCGTCCCGGCACCACACTGAGATAGAAAGAAAAGGCTGAGCCAGCCCTCATCTCCTCCCCAACCAAGGGCACATGCTCTTCATTAATGGCCACATTGCATGACTCGGGGTTTGCAGAGGAAAATAAAAACAGTGAGCTCATCAGAGAAGGAAAAACACGAGTGAGAGGAATTGTTGTAAATATTTATGTCTTCAGGGCCTTTGTGCAACTGTCAATTTCTGCATTTAAATAACCAAGCTATTCCTGTGTCAGACGGTGATATTTTGGTTTTGAAGGGCAATTCTTAGCCCCGCGCATCTGCACCGCATTCGTAGGCAGCGTTGGCACCAAGGAGCAGCCCTCGGGGGGCTACCGAGCCCCAGCACCCTCACAGTGTCCGCCCACGGATCCCCTCCTTCCAGGAGCTTTAAACCTCCTGGAGAAAATCCCTCCCTGGGGCGATCGTATTGACAGGAGTGCCTGGATTCAAACCGGACTAACCTTGCAGCGGGGCTGCAGCTGGTGTAGGGCAGAAATGTTTGACGTGCCTGCATGCGCCTGCCTTCCCTTGGAAAGCTTCCTGTTGCTCTTGGAGCCGAGGCCTGTGATAATAGCCAAGTGCCTGCTGCGCCTCAGATGCAAACTTTTTGCATGAAATAATAGACTCACGCCCACATAAACTTAAATTGTTTCTATGGAGAATATCCTGTCCCAGTCTAAAACCTCACCCTGACTGCTTTATTAGTTAGAAATGCTGGGAGAGCCTCAAATGCATAAATATCAGGGTGTGCCTGCATATGTATATACGTGTACTTATACATGCATATAAATGTATAGACCTCTCTTTTTAAAAAGCTTATGGGAGTGGAATATTTTAGCCTGACAAGTATTTTTCCCGAGAGCAAGGCCTGCTGTGGCATCCTGCATTGAGGTGCTGACCTGGGCAGCGGGGYGCTGGGGGTTGTTACTGGTGCACGGTGCTTAAAGGCCATTTCCCTTCACCTTGATTTCTCTTCCCAGTCTTTGTCTGCTCAGGCTGTAGGTTATTCGGGTGACATTTGTATAGTGCTGGGGAACAAAGCATGGATTTACCATTCTGTTTCTCTTTATCCTTGCAGATCATCAAAGAGCCCCCACCGCCGCCTGCAGAGGACAGCGAGGTGAGCGACACCCACAACCCCATTTCCACATGTTTAGGACAGAGTTTTTTCAGCTTTCTCACTTTGCTGCTGCATGGTCACGTTTCTGCTGCAGGGCAGAATATAGATCAGAGAGCTATGTGCTTGTGCTCAGCCCTGGCCCCTTAAACCCAACAGCGGTTCAGCTAAACCGGGGACTTTGTAGCTGATGTGTCCCATGTGTGCTTCACTCTGGTGCCTTTGCTTTTACCTAGTCATGAGGTAGAGATCTGTTTCTTACTTACTTAAGAGTGCTTGTAGATCCGTGCACACAGGATCTCCAGGGCGCAAGGAGTGAAGGAGGACAGAGGCAGATGATCCTTTGGTTTGGAGCAGCACTAGAGCACGACTCACAGACAGGGAAACCCTTCAGCTTATGTTTAACTTTGAAGCCAATAGAACCTAAGGATCTGCTTAACTGCCTTCCTGAGAGGGCATGGTACTGATTTGGGTGTTTTAACCTCATAATTGTGCCTGGCAGCTGAGCCCAGCTCACAGCACTGACCTCTGGGCTTCACTACTGTGAGCAGAGGCAGAGAACAGCAACCCACAGTCCTTGCAAGTGGGTCTGAAGACAGCGACCCAGCTTTGCAGCAGATGGTGAAGCACAACATGGCCATCTGGAGCTGCCCTGGCGAGGAAGGTTTTAACAGGAGGAAGCAAGGAAACAAGATTAAATGTCCAACTTAATTCCACTCATTCTTTTTAGATTAATCCAGCAACTAACAGGTATAAAGCTACGTCATGGTTACTTAATGAGTATGTTTTCGCTAGAAATCTGCCCTTTCTTACCCCCCCCTTTTCGTAGGCTGCTGCTTTCAACACTCAGAATCTCCTCTTTCGCTTGCACCATTTTGCACATGGGATTTCTTTGAAAAAGGCAGTGGGCTGCGTCCAGGGCACACTGAAGTCAATGGCAATTTTTCCATTGACTTCACTGGGGCTTGGATCAGTTCCTCCTAGCTGTGTAGGTGAGAGAAGATTATGTGCAAGCTCAGAGTGATGTGGCTGGTTAGCTCCCTTTGCTTCTGGCCTCTGGAGAGAAATTCATGGCCTGTTTCAGCTTGCAAGAGGAAGGTTGCTCCCTGCTCTCCCTAAAACCTGGCTCAGTGCGTGTGCTCCGAGCCAAGGCAGAGACTGTCGGAGCTCAGCGCTCTGCAGAGCTACCATGGTGAATCCAGCCGCAGTGCTGAGTGCAGGGAAATAATCCTGGGCAGCTGGAGCTGAGGCCAGTACCAGAACATCCATCTTGGTGGTACTTGTCCCCTTTAAAACAGACCCGAAGCAAAACCCCAGATGTGAAAATTGCTGGACCCAAAAGAGATTTGCATTTGGACCCATGGTCCCGAAGGCACCCATCACCCAGAATGTCATGTCAACCCACGTCTCTGTGTGCAGACGTCTGACCCGCGCTCCTAGGTAGTCATTTCTGTTATTTGGGCTGTAAATAAATCCACTTGGTCAGTGTTTGTCCTCTAAAGGCAAAGGAAAATAATAACTGAAAATTGTGCATGCTCTCTTCTGTACTGCACATGCCTCCAAGCCAGAGGATTCAATTGCTGAAATTAATTAAAATACATCATTCTGGAATGCTGGCTCAGTGGCAAAGGAATGGAAGGGGAAATTGCATCTCTCTTGAAAGAGAGATGTATGCCTCATTTGCAGGGGAGGCCTTCGCTCCAGTCAGTAAGTCCTGCAGAAGCAGCCCCATTGTTGCAGAATACACCAGTTGCAGCAGCCCGTTTTCTTTGCCTCAGGTTTAACTTTGGTTTAACTAGTGTAACAATTTCTATGGACATGTTAAAGTTCCTCTGAGCCCTCATTGTGATGGCAAGGAAGAGCCCAGGGCTGCGGTTACAACAATGTACCGATGATGTAAGGACTAGGGTGGTAGGCGATACACGTAATTTGACATGCACTTTCCACCAGAGCCCCTCCTTAAGCTCAGTACTCAGTTACCCTGGAACCACCATATAGAATTAAAAGCCAAAAGGGCTTTAGAAAGGGGTGAATGCAGTGTACTGAGAGGTACTGCAGCTGGGAAATCACACCAAAATTCTTCAGATCCAAATGACAAATTCCTTAAAATTCAAAACCACACAGATTCTCTCTGGTTCAGAAATTAATAGGACTTGAGACTGTAATTTGCACATTGGATTTTTTCCCAGGCAGAAAAGCTTCTCACTAGCGGGAAAACCAGCAGAAGCTCCAAAAAGATCCATTTCTTTGGTCTCATTTACTCTTACAGAGCCTGGTCTAGAGAATAGGACCAGATTTTCTGCAGTCCATTTTTTTTTCATATTGTGGTTAGCTTTGCCCCCTGCAGAAAACCTAGTAACTGTTCATCTCCAGCGGGAAAGAGTGCTAATCCCTTAAGCAGCAACATTACAGCTACAGAAGGGCTTTTTTCAGCTCTCAAAAATCTTGGCAAAAGTAAGTCAGGAGGAATTCTTGCATCAGCAGAATCAGGAGCTGGGGCCCATGTATCTTTGCATTGCAAGGAGAATGCATTAGACTGTAACAATGAAGGGAAAGCAGCACCGCTGTCAGGAACTTGCCCAGGGTTTTATTGAATTCTACTTTAAGGCCTTTTGAGACCTACTGGAGACAGGCTAACTGTTGGTGAAGGAAATCATTATTGGCCAGAAACTCCCAATTAATTTAATCCGAAATTGCAAATGTTGTCAACTTACTGCTGAGACCTGGTTCCGTAGAAGACACAGAACCCTGGAGGAGATTGAGCCTGGATGAAGAACAGATGGGTCCACTTACAGCCACAAAAGAGTAAGTTAATGCCAATTGGAAGAGGTGAGTGCCGTGAGGAGTCACTGAGCACCTTTCTGGCCTGTGATTGACACACAGATAGTGGCTCAAACCCACATTCTTTTACCCCAGGAAAGCTCTTTGTAGCCTTGCTAGAGGAATCACAACTGCTTCTATCCACGTGTCCCTCCCCTTGAGGCTGAGCTTATTGGAACAACTCCTGCTCAGATCAGAAGTTTACCAAGATGTTGAAGCTGATTCTCAACCTCTCTTCTGTATCAAGAAGGACACTGTGGAAGACACTTTGCATCTTGCAACGATTTCCTGTCCATGAACTGACCCGTGCCAGGGATCTGCTACAAGTCTGTTGCATGGACAGTGATTGCAGTCAGAGCAAGCTGAAACCCTCCAGAGTGTCCCCCTCTCTTCCCAGTGCTTCGCTGCTCCATAAGCAGAGACCAGGCAATGCTAAAATATTACAGTAGCTTCCTTTCCCCTTGTTGCACTCCTGCAAAAAGGAGAGCCCTGCAGCCTGCCAAAACAAGGCAGGAAAGCCACCCCATGACCAGATCGTGGCCTTGCTCCTCAGCACTCAGACCTGCTTTTTCCATGCTGCTCTGTCACCCAAGTTCCACAGCCACCCCAAATGTGGCACCAGGGCCAAGCCACCAACCAGCCTGTAATTGGATAACCCTTATGTCTCTTGTCCTCTTACCCGCAGTCACCAAAGCAAACACCCACAGGAAAGTCCTGGAGAGAAAGGACAACACAGCAACACAGTCGGGAGATGCTGAATGTGCATCATAATGGCCATTATAGGAGCTGCCATGAAAAGGCAAAATTTAACTCGCTATGTGGCAGCTGTTAATAAGCCAGAAGATGAAGGCCCTTTTCAGCCTGGACCAGTTTGATCCTTTTGCATGTTCATCTTTTCCTCCCCAGCCCATGACTGCCCGTTCATGAAGCTGAAGGATGACTGACAGCAGCTGTGCTGGGAGCCCCTGGCACCCTCCTTCATCACTGTTTGATCTCTTCCAGATCATTTTCCTCTCTCTTCCTGAAAAGCCTTGCTGGGGGGATAGCAAAATCAACTCCAGAGCAAGCATTTAATCTGAATTTTTCTTTGTAGACACCAAGGCAGGAAATATATTCCATTATTCCTGAAATAAAGCCAAGTCCCAGTGGCACGCCAGCACTTTTCCTTCCCCTTTACACCCCCTTTACCATGAGTTGCAGAAATCATTGGGAAAGAGAAAAGGAACCTTTCAAGACACAGGCATTTAAGAGAAACAGAACTGAGGTGTTCTTGGGAACAGACGAGGGGCAGGTTTTGCACTGTGGAGGTGCAGACTTAATAGTCAAATTTAACACACAATGTCTAGGCAGGCCCAGTGCAGAGACAGGGAACTGCTGGGTGCTTTTCACCCTCATCATTAGAAAGAGAGCACCAAATTTAATCCTCCTGACCCTATAAGAAGCACTTCTGTGCTACAGGACTCACAGAGCAACAACCCCCTATTGTAAACAYATGGTTGAGCCTTGACCATCTCCCAAGCGCTGCAAAGGCAACCTGGAAGCTGGGGAGATAAATCCAGGGACCTGGGACTGTTTTGTAGGATAAGCAGAATGTGCTGAAGGGAGAAGATGTCTCTTGAGAAGTGTGGACAATGTCCTCAAGGTGCCGTCATGCCTCTGCCTCTGGAGATGGCCACACAATTCTGAAATGAGTCCAAAAATAAGAAGAAAAAAGAAAAAAGAAAAAAAAAAGAAAGGAGGAACAGGAGAGGGCTGTGGACTGCTGTTTCCCCTCCATGTTCCCTCCTCTGCAAAAAGGGACAATGGTGGCTCTTGCACAGCAGAATGGCTAGCCAAGCTCTTCCAGAGCTTCGTGCATGCAGAGCTCTCCATAAAAGCTGAATCCCGACGAGCTTCAGGCAGTACAGAAGCAACTGTGAAAATAATTATTAGGGCGGGGAGAAGGGTAAGTTGTCCAAACTTTTCATATCTGGCCAAATTGAGTTTGAATCCTTACCCTGAGTGGTTTAGATGTCCCTAGTAGAGCCTAATTTGTCCTTGAGTTACCCACAGATGAGGTCCCCTCAGGTCAGGGTCGAAGCCTCCAGAGCCCAGCCTGGACTCGGAGATAAACACGGCGCTTTGTTTTCCGAAATCCAKCAGTTACGAATCTGGATCTCTCCCTCTGAACTGCAGCTCTGCCCTGCCTCCTGCTCTCTGAAAGAAACTCTAGCTCCATTTAAAGCAGATTTTGGAGGCGGAAAGATGCCAAGTCCTGTACGGTCAGTTTCCAGCATCCTTAAGTGCACTTGGATTTTCTGGTACTGTTTTCTGTCCCGCTGCTAGGGTAAAGCTGAAGTCCTTAGGCAGTTCTTCCTGGAGATGCGGATTACAGGGCCYTTCCTTCTCCTTCTGTGCCCACGCTGATCCCCACGTTTCCAGTTCTTGCAGCAACTCACGTGTGGTGTAAGCCCCTTTGCCAAGCAGGGAGGCCAGCCCTGGCGTTTTCCTCGCTTGTGTTGCAAAACCTCCCGTGCCCTTCAAAACATGTAAACAGACTCGTCCCGAAGAAAGCTTGTGACTGCCTTGTTTTGCAAGTGTGCACCGCGGCCCTTCTGTGCGTGTGCTGTTCCTCTTGTTTTTCTGGCAGCTGAACTGCTCGCTTAGATCGAAGTGACTTGCAGAGCTTTTAAGGGCTTGTGGGGAAGATTTCCTAAACCCTGGCATTTCCTGTTGTGAGAAGTCCGGTCTATGCTGGGCTGAAGAGAAAGAAAGAGAATTGCTGAAGGAAAATATTTATATGGCTTTGATTCCAGTTCTTTTTTTTTTTTCCTTTTAAGTCCTCATGGAAAACTTCATGCAGAGATATTAAGTTCTTAGGTTGCAGCAAAGAGAAAGAAAAGTAGAGAAAGAAAAAGAGAGATCAGCTAGGAAGGAAAAAAMCACTATATTTATGACTCAATTGTTCACTTTTCCCTTAAATCGGGACATATTTTGCAGCCAAATTCATGGAAGCTTTTGGGTTTTTTTTACAAAAATGGACCTGTTTAACATGAAGAGTATAGTTTGACTTGGATTTTTTCTTTCTCCCCAGTTTTTCAGTTTTCCTACCAGGGAATTCAATTTCAAAGTACTTTGGGCCTTCCAGTTTGGGAAAGCTACTAAGTTTTGGAGTTTGGCCAAATCCCTGTGAAAAATAAAGAAAATAAGAGAGAGACCATTTTTCATTTCTCTCCACATTTTTTCACAGGGAATACTTCATGTGTCTGATGATTTCTGCTTTTCTGCTTTGCCAGTTCACAGCCTGAACTGTAGAAATGAGAAAGGACCTATATCATTCAGAGCATGTGTGGATGGGAACTGGGCACAGTTTTATAGGATATATTCACTAGCAGTTTAGCCAGACCCATTTGAAAAAAACTCAGGGATACTTCCTTGATTTAAGTAATTGGGAGATACCCGAATGCCATCATGAAGGTCAGGATCCTGAATATGCTTGAGCTTGTGTAAAGTCCCACAAATTTCTACCTGCTATATGGAAAGCATATTCAATTTTTTACAGAATTTAAATATTCATTTGAACATAAATGAAATGTCTCATTTAAAGGACGTTTAAATCCAGACTTTCTGCAGGTGGAAGCTCAAAAAGCCACTGAAGCCACGCGGCTTTTCCTTTGGATCAGGGCAGAAGTTTATTATAAGAGCTAATCATCTTGTAACGTTTTTGTTAAACTGTTCTGTCCTAACTACACTTGGCCACCTCATCTGAGAAAACTCTTCTCCCTGTTGTTCACTCACCCTGGGGTAGTGAATTAGGATTCACCTTCATGTAGGGGAGTATTTCTAACAACTCACCCCTTTGCTTCCTTGCTTTTCTCTCTTCTGTCAAATCTGAATGACAAAACGATGATTTATCTGGGTCCTGGAAGATTCCTCCAGCATGGGGAGCTGTGAGTCAGGGAACAGTCATAGCAGCAACAGCTCTTCCCTCCCTGATCTCAAGCACAGGGAAGGAAGGGATGGCAGAGGGGTAAGTCCCTGCCACCATCACACCTGCTAGCAGAGCAAGCAGGCTCATGGCCAAAAGACCCTGGCTCTTGACCTGTGCTCAGTGCTATTCTGGCTGCTGCTTCTATGATTTTGCAACTTGGAAACCATTTTCTTCCCTGAGTTTAAAGAGGATGAAAGACAGAGGGTCCTTTAAAAGGAAAACACACTTTGTTGCTGGAGCTGGACTGCTTTCAAGTGGTATTTTGTTTGTATCATGCAGCATTTTCTTTTCATGAGTGTACATCCTCTGGCCAATAACCAGCAAAAGAGAGACCAGAGCCTTTACTGCACTGGCCCCAGCAGGCTCCAAGGACTAGATAAGCTGTGACTCTTTATCACTTCCTACTTCTGCTCATGCTTCCTAACACTGCAACCTGCTCTTTTGTAGGAGGAAGATGATGACGGCCTTCCAAAGAAGAAGTGGCCAACAGTAGATGCTTCGTATTATGGTGGCCGAGGAGTTGGCGGTATCAAGCGGATGGAGGTAAATACAGAAAGACTCTTGTGTGAACTGAGCCATGATACTCCCTTGCAGTTTACCCAAAAAAGAAGCATAGGAGACAGACACGAACTTCTTTGGGCTCTCTTGTACCTCTGAGCCAAAATCTGTTTTTATAGCGGGAGATTTGAGAGCCAAGCATAGACTCCTTAGGTTTCAGACCCTTTTCTTCCAGTACAGCAGGATTCTGTTTGTGTTAGGGATACCTGGGCAGTGTTGAGGTAAAAATTACAAGTATTTTTACAATTTTTCTGAAAGCTTCCTCCACTTACACATTTCTCACGAACCACAAAGAGGGAAATGTCCAAGGTTTGGGCTCCAGTCTAGAAAGAGCCCCACGCTTCACCTGGGATGTAGACCATAGGAAAATGCAGATCTGCAGTTCTAGCAGGAATGTACCTCTACAGCAGTTGCTCTTATGGCCCTGATGCTGCCTTTTGCAGGTGCGCTGGGGTGAAAAGGGCTCCACGGAAGAAGGTGCTAAGCTGGAGAAAGCCAAGAATGCCCGAGTCAAGATGCCAGAACAGGAATACGAGTTCCCCGAACCCAGGAATCTTGGGAACAACATGCGCAGACCCTCCTCTCCTCAGAAGTGGTACTCTCCAATCAAGGTAAGTCCTGTTCAGCTTGKTACTGCTTAGGCTGCTTCCCGGATACCTATGCTTAGCAGTCTGTGTTCACACCCAAAGCAAAAACTCACAACTCTCCAGGAACTTCTTGTTTCAAGAGGCTGTTAGTTTTACATAAGGAAGGATCCCCTGCACATTTGGCCAAGCAGCTGTCACAGACAGGAGTCCTCGTAAGCCATATTTTGTTAGGCAAGCCATTGCAGTGAAGGCATCTTTCAGTGCCATGCAGTCAACTTTGTGTGCCCTGTGTCTGCTCACTGGGTAGCTCCAAGCAGTGCCCCTAGGGATCTAGACACGTTATGTGTTCTGGCTGTCCTCCTCCTCCACTGATCTTGCAACTGGTTCAAATCCAGTGATGGAAATGGCAATGGTGCCCAAGGGAGTAAGAGGGGTTTCCGCAGGATCTGGAAATGTGAGCCTGTTCAAAAGTCTGCTCCAATGCTCTCTCTCTCTTTTCCCACTTAAGGATTATCATTTTATAAACATAGCCTACCAAAAAACTCATTTGCAATTGCGTTATAATGACTTCAACATGTGTTTGTGAAGGTTATTCGTTCTCACAGAGGGACAGGTTATAGAATCAATTTTCAGTTCGGAGTGGGGAGGTTGTTCCTAAATGCATTGCACTGCCATTTGCATCAGTGCAAATCATGTATAAAACACACCAGTCTCATCTTGGGGAGGTTCATTCCTGCTGGGACCTTATCCAGCTGAGAGCTGCAGCTCAGTTGCTTTCTGCAGTGTTCGCAGTGCCCAAAGCTGTGCTCTAACCTGCTGAGGAGCAGACAGGAGTTAAAGGAGAGCAGCACTTATTCTGGCACGAAGACTGCATGCTCAGGCAGCTGGAATCCATGGGAGCACAGTTGCCTGAGGTGGTAGTTGAGCGCTGTGTCCATTCCCATTGAAATTACTTCCTCCCTTGGACAGGTTATGCTGCTGGATTACAGCCCCAGGAGACTGCCAGTTAATTTGCAGAATTTATTCTGCATGGGAGGAAGTCAGTCCTAAACAGAAGAGTCAAAAGTTTGTTGCAGATCTGTGTCCCAGCTGGAACTCTTCTGAAGTTCAAGGGAGGCTTGGAGAAAAGATGCAATGAATGTCGGGTTCAAGTTCAGTTCTGACTGCCTAGGAACAGCTTTTCGTTCATAACAGCAGGAATTTGATTAGAAAGGGGAGTGTGAGCATTAGGAGCATCTTTTGGGCAATATTTGATATTTGTCCTTAGTTCCTTTAGAAAATCTCTCTTTTCCACCATCCAGACTCCACACAGCAAAAGGACATGTCCAGTCCAAGACCCTACGTCCAAATATTGCGATGTTCCACATATGGATAGTGTTTAGCAGCCTAAATCTGTCTCTGGATGAGAATTTACCTAATTAGTAATCCCTCCCACACCCTTACTGGGCCTCACTCAGGAAGACAGAGTCGTTGTATTCAACGCTTCCCCAGGAGCACTCAGCAAAATCAGGGGCTCATTTCTATGAGGCAGAGCTCCTGCTATTGCTCTTCCTGAGCAGTAAGGAATGAGCAAAATTGGCAAGACTCTTCAGGCCTCTTGGCAAAGGTTTCTGTCCAGGAGACATGAGCCTAGGAGGATGAATTTGCRTTGTGTTTTTCAGGGAAGCTCTCATGGAGCCCTAACATGCAGAGGGAGATGAGGAGGGGTAGCCTGTTAGGTCATTGGCTCTGCACCTCCAGCCAAAGCAGAATAGCTAATTCCAGTCTGTCCTTCACTGCTTTTTCCAGTCTTGTTTTTAAAATAACACAGAGGCTTCCGCCACTTCTCTGGGGGAATATTTCACAGACTCACAGGCCTCACCCGTAGGAAATGTCTCCTGATATTCAGCTTAAATCTTCCTATTATCCCCATGCTCCAAATGCACTTGATACCTTCTGTTAAAGCACATATTAAATTTCCATCTGCTCTATCAGACTCCTTCAAATACCGCTTTGGAAGGCAGATATACCTTGTGCATGTAACAAGCTGCTTAAAAATACATGTGAGAGGAGGAAAGTAAGGAATTCAGATCAGCAACACTTAACCAGGATAGTTTGAATCTGACAAAATGCCAAGAAATTCACATTTTAGGGTCAGTCCCAACAACCCTCCATCTTTCCATGCAACACAGGGGCCGCCCTTAACTTGGGGTGTCCTGCGTTTTGCCAGCTTATCCAATGGAGGCAAAGGTAAAGGGTTTTCTTCCCCTTACATCAACTCCCCCAAATGATGTATGTTTAGTAGGTACATGACTGTTAATGAGAATTGATGAACTGCTGTTTGAAATGCCCAAGGGCTTTATCTGCTGCCAAATGCAGCTACTTACACTTAAAAGATTGTTGTTATTGTTGTTATTCTTATTTGCTGCTGCTGCTCCTTAGCATAATGCCAGCTGGATTTCCCCCCTTTTAAAATACCATTTCAACAGTTGAAAAGGTCAGTGCAAATAAACCAAAAATCATGACAAGTCTAAAAGCTTCTCAAGAAACTTACCAGATCCTTAGTCCATCTGACAGAGGTAGGACAGCAACAATTATGGATGCAAATGAAGATACAAAAACGGACAGTGCCTTTTCTCATGATTTGGTGCAGGACATATTGTCTGCTGCAGCCAGTCAAAGAGCTCTGCATGCTTTGGTTTGGTTAACAGCTTTCTTGCTTCTGTGCCTTCTTCTGCTTCTACTTAGTAATGTAGGTGTCTACCTCTTCTTCCTCCTCCTTTCTCCTTTCTTGCTCATTCGGAAGCCTCTTCCTTTGTGCTTGTCGGAGTTTCTGAGGGAGGGAGAGTAAGGTTGTCTCTAGGAGAGAAAGCATTGCTCTCCAAAGCCTTTTGTGAACACAACTAATAGTTAAGTGAAAAATGTGCTTGTCTGAGCTACCTTGTCTCTGCATCTCCCTCTGCGCAGTGCACTTGCTCTTCTCTTGAAGATAACACTGTGTTTGCTTTGATTGCAGGGGAAATTGGATGCTCTCTGGGTCTTGCTGCGGAAAGGTTATGACCGTGTATCTGTGATGCGCCCTCAGCCAGGAGACAAGGTACTGTGCCTTACAAGCCAGGAGAAATCCCTGTCCCAAGCCAGGACAAAGCCCACTCGAGTTTCTGAGGTGGGACAGAAGGGTTGAATATCTCCTGCTGAGGCAGGTACTTACAAGATGTCAGAAGCAAGAATGCAGTTACATCTAACAGCTTTGTTTACAACTGCAGCTCGTGCAGTTTCACGCGAACACATCTTCAAGTGTGAAAGTTCTTTGACAGAAATACCCAGGTAGGAGCCCAGTACATTCCTGCTCTTAGATGTTACAGCCATTTTCCATTAATTACGCAATTAATACTCATGAATATCAGATGTTCCTGCAGTTTTTCATTCATTAAAGTTTAAATTCCAGAATGAAAGTCTAAAAATACTTTTAAGAGTATATACTTTGCTACCTAAATTTAAATTTCATCAGCGTTGTTACAGAGCAGGGTTTGCAGAATGAGAACTGGAGTTGTTCTGTGAGAGGGAGGAAGTATTCCCATATATTTCTTGTAAAATCTGTGTTCACGTGTATGAAAAAGGGATAGTGAAACTTTATACATTCGTGTGTGCTATGGGCAGGAAAAGAAACTGTTGAGGAGAACGAGCTAATACCACTTAACAGGAATTATGCTGTCTCTGGTGGCGGGATTCTGTAGAGTTAGATCTCTCCTAGAAAATACTAACTCCTCCTATTGAGTGGGATTAAATGTCGGAGTGCTTCCTCAGTCATTTCATACTCTCACAGCCCCTGTTTCAATTTGACTACCCTCATGGTGAAAAAATGTAGGTATATATATATATTATATACATATATATATATATAGTCAATTTACACATGTCTGACATAAATCAGCAAAGTGTCCTGGGGAATACATTTGGCCCAAAGTATAAGTAACTGTGTGTATCGTTGTCAGGAGACTGAACAGGATATGAAACAACAAAAGCAATTTTTTTGGTGGAGAAGCAAAGTCCTATAACATTTGGCTCCCTATAAGGTTTTTCCATTGACTTCAGGACCAATGAACTCTTGTGGATAGAAATGTTAATGTTTTCTTGCTTCATGGGGAAAAATTGCTAGAATGTCTTTGCTTAGTTGCTAATGCCTGGCAACTTTTGTGATTTTTTTCCACAGAAGTCAGGGTTTGAAGAATGCCTATTCTTTGAGTAATTTTGTGTATGTGTGTGAGGAGCTAAGATTATGTTATGAGAAAGATACCTCTTCCATTTACAGTAGGGAAAATCCAGAGTAGTTTAATTGAAGCCAGTAAAGTTAGYGGTGATCTATACTAGTGCAACTGTGAGCAGACTCCCTCCCTGTTTGGTCCTATATCTCTTAAACACGTCGTTCTGCATTCTGCCAGCATAAAGAATAGGAGAATTGGCCCAGGTAGGTGTTACGTGCTCCAGAGTCTCAGTAGATTTAGCTCTGTGTGATCCTGCTGTGCTCTAAAGAGGCTCTGGGACCACCCCTGCATCCTGTGATGGATCCATCACCTGTGCATCAAGTCACTTGACAGGCAAATTTATATATATGTGCCAGGTAGGCAGCTAAGCGCATGGTGTGGCCAGTGACTGCTGGAGGAAGGTATTTCTTGGCATGGTCTCTGAGACAAGATGCCAGCACCGACCATCAGCCAGCGGGGCAGAGCTGTGAGTCGTCTTGGCAACAGCTGGCTCGGCTGCCAGTTCTTGTGGCCCCTCCGTGCGATTCCAAGTAGCTCCCTTGGACCAGGCAGCATGGACAGGGAGCACGGCAAGGACAGACTTGGTCCTCGTCAGCTTGTGAAATCTGCAGCGTGGACAAATGGCCTGGAGTTGGGGGATTTCATAGCTGTCTGCCAGCAAACCTGGGCTTGTTCGTGTTCTTTCTTTCTCTTCRGAAGGAGGAGCTGGTACAGGACAGCTCTTCCCAGCTTGGCCACAAAGGGAGCCCACGCAGAGATGGGATTTTAAGGCTGGTTTGAAACTTCAGCCCCAGTACTGAAGCCATGTGCAAAGCCAGCACACAGCACATCCTCGGGGAAAGGCTAGGTAGATATTCAAGCCTTTGCAGGTGATATTTATGCCTGATCACCTAAAATTTGCAGACAGGACCCTTTGATCATATGATGTTCCTAAAAGCTACAAGGAGGGGCTGCTATGAGGGTGATTTGCAACTCCTTATTTCTCTTTCTTGCATAAAAGAGGGAAGCAGATTTCAAAGCTTGGTGTCGTCACATGGACACTTCAATTCACCCACTTGGTCAACATAAAAATATGAAGCCAGATGAAAAGTAACTGAAAGAAATATCTGTTTGCTTTGGAGCCTGCGAGGGAATTGGACTAAAGCCCAGGATTACATCATTTTCATATAGAAGCAATCCCTTGCTATAATCAGTTACTTTATCCGCTGCCAGTGCATTAGCTGAGCTGTTCAAAAAGTTTCCTTGCGTAGAGTGAAACATGGATCGAGCTTCAACCATTGTGTTGACTAATCGTTGCTCTTTATCTGCCGCAGCCCACGCAGCTCGCTGGGTACCAGACACATCGCTAAGGAAGACAGTTCCCGCCCCGAGAAGTTCACGTTAGGCTGTAGCAAGACATACATTCAAGGACAAGGACTCGTAAACTTGTGATTTATATACGTTGCAGCGGACAGCATGGGAGTTATTCCAGTCCTCCTTCCCTGAGTCACTTGGGGCAGTCCCTTCTCTTGGCCCCTTGTCGGTTCATGCTCTGAACCCTTTAATCAAGGTTTAAATGCCTTGGACTAGGACTGTTTCCTCACTACAAAAGATACTGTTATCAGAGTAACTAATTGCCCCATAAAGTAGGAAAGACAGATTTACCCCAAAATTGAGCTTTTATTTTTTTCCCCCCAACTGTAGCAGTTGTCATAATAAAGGATAAACTTCTGCAACGATGCCTGTAGCTGCCTGCAGAATCTCACTCGCCTTGGCCACTAGGCAGCAGTTTCTATGAACAGCAGGTCCCACTTCACAGCTTTCTGTATTTGCAGCAACTGGGCACAAGCCTCCTTGCATCTCCCAGAACAAAACACGAGGCTGACTTCGGTCTGCTCTGCAGGAGCAGAAGGCTCATTAAAGCACATCTTTTGTCACAGAGTGGGCAGAAAGGACACTCAGGGTCTGTTTTACGTGTGGCCAGAGAGGCTGAGATGCACAAGACAGTTGTGAAACTCTGTTTTTGGAGTCAAACCTGGAAATGCTCTGAGGTTAGTAACAGCCACAGCTGGTTCCAATAAGGCAAGGAAGTCAGAGTCACATGGGATTCCTGTGGTCTTCTCACATTTTCTAAAGACTAGGTTTGCATTTTTGTCAGCCTTAATGAGGTTATTTTTACATTCAAAACATCATTAGACGGGGATGATTTAAATATATGTTATATACATATATTTTAGAAAACTTTATGGCTTCTCTAATGGACTAAGGGAAGGCTTATTAGTGCAAAGTCCTCACTAAACACAGGATTCAAATAATTAACTAGTGTCACTTTAAAGTTGTCAGCTGAATTTCCATGGTAAACAGTGTTTCATCTGAAATTTAGGAGGAGATTATTGCAGTGTGTTTCAGGCTTGGCTTGGAACAGCTCAATCTGGGAGCTGATTATATTCTAAATTGTTATTGCAGTGCATTAGTTGCATTGTCATTTTGTGTGTACATATGGGTATCGATATAGGTGTGTATATATATACATATATAGAGAGAGGAAGTATAGCAAAGTCATGTGTAATTATGGATAAAGACATATCCTGCCTAACTTAGCCAAAATGCAGGTAGAGGAGTTTGTGCTTAATCACTTAAGCTCGTGTCTTATTAGATCTCAGTGAGATGATCCTAGGACAAACAGTGGTTAGTTGTGACAGGATGATGGGGTTATGAAATATATTAAAATACCCCCCTTTAAGTAATCACAAGTGTTGCTACAATAAAGGGAAGAATGTATTTGTATGTGTGTGTGCATGTGAAGACATAAAAATGGTTCTTAATATAAACAGAACAGCCAGAGTATGAAATAAGAGCAGTTTACAGCCAGATTGCATGAGTCTTCACTCAGAAAAGCCCTGTTTTTCAACAAACGCTTACAAAACTCCTCTCTGACCTACCATCACACTAATATTTTTATATTACAGTGAAATGCCAAAACCTCAAATTAATGATTTCAGGCTTCCCTGTGAATGTTTTATACAGCCTAAGGAATTCAGCTGACCATTCTGGATTATATCGGTCATTCATCTCAAAYGACCATTCCTTGAGAAAGGCCCAGCTCTGCAGAGCAAGGACTTCGGGATGCGTGTGGTCACTTTTAAGTCCCATTGCTTCTATTGAGAATCTCTTGGGCATGTGCTCTGATGCTGCAGGCTTAGCCCTTCAGTTCTGGAGGCCTTTTTACTTGCATGCTGCACGGTGATTGTTTCCTCTGGGATTGCAAGAAAAATCCTGCAAGGTGGTAAGTAACCGCCTGTGTCTTACCTTGTATTGCCAGGGACTTATGGAAAGACAAGTGCACAGTTTCACAGAATCACAGGATGGTTGAGATTGGAAGGGACCTCTAGGGATCATCCAGTTCAACCCCCTGCTCCAGCAGGGACACCCAGAGCACAGAGCAACCGGGCACATCCAGGCGGGTTGGGAAGATCTCCAAAGCAGGAGCCTCCCCAGCCTCCCTGGGTAGCCTGGGCCAGGGCTCGGGCACCCTCACACCAAAGAAGTTCTTCCTCACATGGAGATGGGACTGCCTGTGTTTCAACCCATTATACCCATTGCCCCTTGTCCTATCACTGGCCACCCACTGAGAAGAGCTTGGCCCCATTCTCCCTGCATTCACTCTTCAGCTATTTATAGGCTCAAAAGCATACGAATATTGAGAAGAAACTATTGCAAGACTGAGCCTCGGCTGACAGGTTTCTGCTGATAGGCTGCAGAGCTTGAGAACAAAATTGTAACCTTCCTGCACGTATTATTGCAGTGGAGTTTTCCATTAATAGCCATGGAAAAATTAACCTAAGCATTAGTT